TTTTTAAATTAAACGTTATTTAGTAAAACTCATTAGAGATTTCATACGCGCTAACTCGTGGACACATTTTTAATTTTTTATTGCCTAGATGTGTGGACAAGCTCACAGCCCATCTCGTGTTTAGTGGTTACTGGAGCCTATAGACATCTACAACATAAATGCGCCACACACCTTGAGATATAATTTCTAAGGTCTCAGTATAGTTACAACGGCTACTACTACCCTTCACACCCAAACGCATTACTGCTTCACGGCAGAAATAGGCAGGGTGGTGGTACCTACCCGTGCGGACTCACAACAGGTCCTACCACCAGTAGAAGTATTTTACTGGATCATTACTGATTCTTTACATTCGTACACTGTTTTTAATTATTTTCGAAGAGAGACAAGCCCTTAGCCTCCTTCGTGGTGAATAGTCGTCGTTGCTCATGGATACCAACATTGCCTCTGTCGCACGAGCGTCTTTGTATAGCCAGGCCGCAAGCTTCCTTTAACATATCCATAGCTGTAGGGTTAAACAAGCTTAAAAAGCAGTTAGAAGCGCTGTTTTTATATTTTCTCGTATAATGTCGAATACGCGCCCAAATTAATTCTAAAAATTCATATTTTTTTGTTATAAATATTGTTATAACGGTACGAGTACCGCTGTTAAGTACGCGTTAAGTAAGTTAACGCGGTGTAAGTTTATCTGTCGTTAAATAGTAGAAATGGATATCAAAACATCTAGTACTATCCGAAATGTTCTGGAAAATTGTAGACTTGTCGTATCGATCATAAAAGCGTTGCAAAGACGACATTAAGGCCATGATCAATTCTCATTGAAGCGACACAACGAAAGGATCAGCTGAAGCGAAGTGAAGAAGTAAGTAAATTCTGAAATCGAAGTCTACCTTGAGTGTCGTGATAATTAAATTGAGTTTTGATTTGTATTTCGGTGAAAGTTATTTTTTATCCCGAGCCCCAGCGCGTTACAATATCAATGAATTCACTGTAATTAATTGATCCTGGGAACCACACAAATAACCATTATTTATATGTAATTCAATATTGTATTCTTTGACCTACACGACCATCTGGACCTCGAATCAATCCGGAAATACATGAAGTCAGCGTGGGAACGGTACTTCTATAAGATTATGCGTCATGATAATCGCCTTATCGTTGCCGCCGCTGACTGCTCCTCGAATATTGATCACGACAGAGCCAGTCACCGTCGACGCCCTAGACACGTTTAGACGCCTTAGGGACCCCGGTAACCGTACTCGTCGAACTCAATAAAGAGGTGGAGGTGCAACCTAACCCATGCATCAGCTCGCTGAGTTTCTCGTCGGATCTTCTCAGCGGGTCGCGATTCCGATCCGGTAGTATTCATTCGTGAAGCAGTCGCACTTGAGTTGTTAGGTCTCCTTCGGAGGCGTTTGGGCAGCTGTTAGCAAATCCCACCCCTCCTGGCTGAGCCTTTGCTCGCCTATCTGTCCTGGTGAAACTGGAAATCCGGGCCACCAGTGATCCTTCAATCATAAAAAAAAACATTACATACTCAGCGTCGCTTTACTTCTATTAAATACTCCGAGGCTATGATTGCTAGTATAACTTTAAGTAATATTATGTGAGTGGTAGAGTTTCTCCTTTGAAATATTGTCTCTTGACGGGAACGAGATAAGACGATAGCTGCATGACAGTAATGTATCGAGTTTCGTTTTCTGCATTTGTTACATTCTGATACTATGTATAATATTAAGCAAAAATGTTGTTATTTTACTAAGTAGGTCAACAGGGATTTAGATGTAGCTGTGGTTTACATATGGCATTCGATTGAGGTCGCAAGATATTAATGGGCCGCGTTTGAAATCGCTTAGATTTTATTATTGTTATTTTCGGGAAAATCTCGTTACAAAAATCATCGTAGAACTCATGCAACCGATTATTATTTCCACAACGTTACGCTCTGATATGAAGATGCTCGTTATTTCTTTAGCGATATAACATATGCTTCTTCAACAGATGTTTGAATGCTTGGTGGTATCGTTGGCTTTGCCGATGTCCACTAGCTACTCAGATAAAATGTATAATCCTTTGAATAAACTTAATTAAAGAACTAATCCTGGCTTTATTTTAATCTGAATACTAAATCTAGTTATGGATATAACATAATATAATACGTATAGTATTTAGTATAGTAGTATACGTATCGTAGTTATTCTATAAAATTTCATTATTTTCTAGTTGAATCTATTTGCATAAGGAAAAAGGTCATTTGGGAGAAGTTCCAATATGGAAAGTATTCTGGCTTGGATAGGGTAACCATAACTCGATTTAAAAAAACTATCTTATTATCTTTTACTTGGCTGTGTGGTATCGATCAGCAACCGTAGCACCCCAGGTCTCCGAGGATTTAAAAGACAACTTATATGTACCGCGATAAATGCGGAGCACAGTTCTCTGAATGTTATACAAATTTTATGCAATTATCAATTGGTATTTATTAGTGACAGGGCGTATTGTAAGCCCACAAGAGAAAGTACCCCCGCCCATTTCTGCTCCGAATCCATCATGGGTCCCGGTTTGAAAGGTGGGCCAGATTTTATAAAACACAATTGAGGCCTCGACTTCTAGCTCATGGCCATGACGGCGTTTATGTGTCTATGGGCTCCAAAGACCACTGTACACCAACTCACTGTCGGCCTGGAGCTCGTTCCTCAATCTACGTCAAAAAAAGAGCTTACATTTTATAGATAGTTTAAGATTTCGATACCATGTGAGGTAACAATACTTTATTAATAATTATTTCATTTAGGTTTTCCAATAGGAGATCTATCTACACAATGAAAATCTTTATTTGGTAAGAACAATCCAAATTGTAATTGATTGTAAATTGAGTATTGTATATTATTATATTAGTCAAAGATAAAAATCCACAAGTAACTTTTATATTTGAAAGGTTCTCATTGGAATATAATTCAGATCGGTCGAATTTGGGGATCACAATCTTCAAATCAACAATCTTAAAACCTCGAGTTCGGTGACCCCGACGTGGTACATGCTTCGGCATGTCTTCTGAAAACAAACCCGTCACCGTCGGCACGATTAAATAGCAATTACTTTATGCGTCATTGTCGCCGTGTTTCTGTGTGTACCATATCAAATTGGGCCCGTTTGTTTGCTGTAGTCAAGTACTGAACACTAAGCGCGATCTAGATTTGCTGTTCTGCAATTCAAATCAATGGCACTGCACAGCGCTGTCCCCGTTTGTTCTGGAGATCACACATACACAGAATATCCGACTGCGGAACGTTGATATACTAACTAAACGTGCCACGGAGGAGTTAGCTAGCTACTTAAGTGTTCGGTTGAAGTCACTGTGGTAATTATATGGGAGGGGAGCTCATTCCATAGCCGGATGGTACGTGGCAAAGAGAAAGAAGAAGCAGTTCGAGGCACATTAATATTCATGCTTTGTCATTCATTCACTTTATAGAGTTACGTTGAACCGATGGTCGGCTGTTTAAAATCGATAAATGCGGTATAAAATGTCCGAGTCCTAATTACAAATCGTGGTGACATCACAAGCGGTCGATTTAAACGTTATTTAATGAAGATTTATCTAGCTCCGTGCGCTACGGATTTACTCCGCCAATGAATATTCTAGTTAGTTGCTATCTTCGGGTAAAGTGACACTTCATTTAATTTTATACTACCCTATGCAGTCCTTTAAGAAATATTAAAATCATTCATAATTATGTATCTTTATGGATCTTTTGTGTATATTGAAATGAAGTATTGTGTGACAGTTTAGTCTGCAGGACCCAACGAACGCTATTATAGTTATTCCCTGCCCGTGGTGACACCAGGCTTTTACTGATGATGCGGTAGGCATATAGCGGTAGGTAGTGGCTTGGATTAGTAGGCAGCGGCTTGGCTCTGCCTTTGGCATTGCTGACGTCCATGATCCATAGTAACCAATCACCATCAGGTGGGCCGTATGCGCATCTGCCTACACGAACAATAAAAAAAAATACTATTCACTATCGTGCCAGATAATTAGACCTCATCTGTCACCTATTAATATGTTCCACGTAGTGTTTGCATTCTCCGGTCACAGAGGTCCGATTTTCCAAACCAATACTTTTAAAAGTTTGATATATACGTATATATTCTTATATTATATTATATACTTCATATTATATATCGATCGCAGGTCCAATATCAGATACGTCTAAGAAAGTATTCTTCAAACGGATAGAACAAAAACCCGAAACTCTCAAAAAAATAAAAAATAAAAAAAAACAAATCTTTGATCAGCTAAGCCCGGTGACCCGACGTCTGCGAAGTTCGTTTAAATACGAATTTTAAACTAGTCCAGAGATCAAGCTACATTGGTTATCTGATATTCCTTATTCGAGGGATCAGTAGGTAGATTCCGCGCAAAATATCCGGAACAGAATTTGACACCGGCCTGATATCGACACATTTCGGTTTTTTGATGTTGGTTTAGTGTGGATACTATTATTGTAATAAGATAAAGTCTTAAAGTTATTAATAGACAAACTGACCTTGGGTTATTGAGTTTAATCTCAACAAGAAATACAATCTATGAATTGACTACATACACATTCAGTTTTATATACAATTTTCAAAGTTGGAAATCGATTGGCTAATGAAATGGTCATTTTGGGGTTTTGTCTGTTCCTGTCTGTAGTAGTGTATTAAACTGTGAAATCACCGGGAGAATTCAAACCACTTTTTTTTTTTTTTTTTTTTATTGNCTTCGTCGTGTGTGTGAGGTCCGATGCCGCTACTATCATCACAAGGTGACGACATCATCCCCGTTGCCGGACTAGCAACGGTTGGAGCAATAGAACCGCTCAAGTCATCCGCCCAGGTTTGACTGGCACCACATTTGGTTTTGCACGAAAACAGCTGTTCAGAGTGCCTCTTGAGTTGTATTGAAGATTTAAAGTCTTTTACAATGTATACGTTTTTACCAATTCTCTTTAATATCACACCGCACTAGTAGTTGTGGAAGCCATCTCGTACACCTCAAGCCACTTGGAGTACGCGTCTACTAGGACAAGGTACATCCGACAATTCAGCGGACCTAGAAAGTCTAAGTGTACACGGTAAAAGGGTTGTGGGGGGTATTCCCACGGGCACACCGGAGTGCGCGGCGGAGTCGGTCGTAGCTGCATACACACCTCACATGAGCTAATCATATTTTCTAGGGCGTCGTCTAAGCCTGGAAACCAACATCGAGATCGAGCTTCAGCCTTTGTTTTAACTATGCCCATGTGTGAGCTATGCAACTCTGTTAAAATACGGTGACGCAAACTCCCTGGTATCACCACTTTATGACCCCTCATAACGCAACCATTTTCAACGGACAGTGGCAATCTACATAAGTAGTAAGGCTTAACTTCTGCGTTAATAATTTTTTTAGGCCATCCGTTTTGAATATATTTGATGACTTCACGTAATATGCTATCATTGCTGGTTGCGTTACGTAATTCAGTCACCGATATCGGGAGTGCGCCTTGCACTACGAAGCAAACATAAGAGGCGCTGTCGAATGCATCGACATCGACCGCTCCCGCTCCGCGCCTGGTCCCCCCGCCTCGACCACCGCACGCGCCCGCGCCGTCCGGTAGACTCGCACGAGACAGATAGTCCGCACTATTATCTGCACTCTTCACGTACTCGATTACATAATTATAACCACTAAGAAAAATTGCATATCTTTGAAGTCTGTTTGCCGAGACTTCTGGGATGCCTCGTTGTGGGCCAAATATCGAGAGCAGCGGTTTGTGGTCCGTCCTTAGTATAAATGGATTTGACCTGCCGTACAAATATTGATGAAATCGACGAACACCAAATATAATCGCGGTTGCTTCCTTTTGGATTTGTGAGTACCTTTTCTCGGCGTCGTTGAGCGTGCGCGAAGCGAAAGAGATAGGTTTTTCCTGGCCATCGGAACTCACCTGTGATAGAATAGCACCTTTTTTCGGGTAGAGGGCCGAACCTCCTACGAGGTCCCCGCGCAAAAGGGGCGCGCGGGGTATGTGAGACATAGAATAGCACCTAATCCATTGGGCGACGCGTCTACAGTGAGAATTATATTTGCATTAGGATTAAAATGGGCCAATACATTATCGGATGCTAACATTTTTTTTATTTCATTAAACGCCTTATCATGTAACTTAGACCAACGCCACTTTGTTTCTTTTTTTAAAAGTTCGTATAATGGTCCGAGAATACAAGATGCATTCGGTACAAAATTCCTATAATAATTTACTAAGCCTAAGAAAGATCGTAGTTGACTAACATTCGTAGGCGCCGGTGCCTTTAATATTGCTTTTATTTTATCGGGTGATTTCCTTAGCCCCTCTTTATTAATGGTAGACCCTAAATAATTAATTTCATCTTGAAAGAACTGACATTTAGACTTTTGTAGAACAAATCCTGCGTCTTGCAACCGTTGTAGGACCTGATGCAATCTCTCAAGATGTTCAGAGTCATTGCGACCCGTTATGAGCACATCGTCCAATAAACACAGCGTGCCGTCCAGGCCCGCTAGCACTGTATCCATGGCTCGCTGGAAAATTGATGGCCCACTAGCTAACCCGAACACCAAACGCGTATACGCGAAGATCCCTTTATGCGTATTGATACAAGTTAACTTTTGGGATTCTTCATCCAGACAAAACTGTCCGTAGGCCATAGACAAATCTAATTTAGTAAATTTCTGGCCCCCGTATAGTTTAAAAAACAACTCGTTTACGGTAGGCAACGGATGCTGTTCCACAACTAACTGCTTGTTTATAGTAACAGAGTAGTCCGCGCAGATACGGATCGAACCGTCACGTTTCAGTACCGGAACTATTGGTGACGCGTAGTCGGAATGCTCGACTGGTCGGAGTACTCCCAGTCCCACTAAACGGTTTATCTCTTTTTCTACTTTTTCACGCAGAGCAAATGCGACCGGCCGTGGTTTAAAAAATATAGGATGAGCACTTTCTTTTAATTTCAAATTAACTTTATATTTGTTGAATTGACCTAGCTTGTCCGAGAACACGGCGGGATATTGTTCCTGTATTAATTTCAACGTGTCACGGGTAGTGGCACATTTATATACGGGCGCTAGCTGCAGTTCAAATTGCGCGATGAAGTCGCGGCTTAGTAAAGGTGGTCCGCCATCGCGCACCACGTACACGTCGAGCTGGCGCGCGCGACCCCGCCACTCCACTAACAACTGAGCGCGACCGGCGCAACCTAACACGTCACCCGAGTAACTTAATAACTTCTTATTTGTGCTAAGTAAGGGAATGTTTTTAAAATGTTCGTTATATGTATCGTGGGACATAACGGTAACAGCTGACCCACTATCAATCTCAAAGTTCATTCTGATACCATTGACACACACGGCTTCGATTAATGGTTCACCTCGCAAAGATCGAATGTTACAAATTTTACCGTCGTCACCGTCACCTTCATCGTTCTCCTCCGTTACAACATAATTGATTCTTTTGCACATTCTACGCAAATGTCCTTTTTTGTTGCACTTCCTACAAGTGTAACTCGCAAAACGACACTCCGCGGCTTTGTGATTCGAATAACCACACACGGAACACTTTACTTTTGCACTTTGAGGTACACTAGTCGGAGAACGTTTNCAAAACGACACTCCGCGGCTTTGTGATTCGAATAACCACACACGGAACACTTTACTTTTGCACTTTGAGGTACACTAGTCGGAGAACGTTTGCCTATTTTGTACAGCTCTGTAACGACAGTCTCGGCAGCAGCGCTTGCAGCAGCAGCCGCGCGGGCGCTGCGCAAGCTCTCGGTCAGCTCCACAGCCCTGGCGAAGGTCAGCCCGGCCTGCACGTACATTTTTTCTTTACATTGGTTATCTGATATTCCTTATTCGAGGGATCAGTAGGTAGATTCCGCGCAAAATATCCGGAACAGAATTTGACACCGGCCTGATATCGACACATTTCGGTTTTTTGATGTTGGTTTAGTGTGGATACTATTATTGTAATGTGCTTAATAAGATAAAGTCTTAAAGTTATTAATAGACAAACTGACCTTAGGTTATTGAGTTTAATCTCAACAATAAATACAGCCTATGAATTGACTACATACACATACAGTTTTATATACAATTTTCAAAGTTGGAAATCGATTGACTAATGAAATGGTAATTTTGGGTTTTTTCTTCTGTTACTGTCTGTAGTATAAGTATGAAGTCACCGGGAGAATTCAAACCACATAAAGCAATTACAACTATTTCACATTTAAGATAAATATTGAGCACTTAGCGGTCACACTAAGCTGGAAGTTAAACAGGAGCCCGGCGCCATTACTTTGACATTATATCTACAAGCACGCAATTAAACGTTTTTTAAGATTTTTATACTCGTAATATATATTTTTTATTGCTTAGATGTATGGACGAGCTCACAGCCCGCCTGGTGTTAAGTGGTTACTGGAGTCCATAGACATCTACAACGTAAATGCGCCACCCACCTTGAGATATAAGTTCTGAAGTCTCAAGTATAGTTACAGCGGCTGCGGCAATAATGCGCTTCGGTTTGAAGGGTTCAAATTGAAACGCATTATTGCTTCACGGCAGAAATAGACAGGGTGGTGGTACCTACCCGCGCGGACTCACAAGACGTCCTAACACCAGTAATATAATATGTCTGCATTGAGTTAACGGAAAAGCTGGCAAATTTAAATGGTCGTTATTTTTTTAAGTTTTCCCGGGATACGTGCAAACGAATATACACACAATATATTTTATTTAGACTTTTAATCTAAAGCTATTGTATAAAGTTTGTGTGGTTCCTGTGTACAATGTAGAGAGTGCTGACTGCGGTCTTTGTGTCACGTAATAGGAGTGTCTGAGTCCTTTGTCCAGCTATAACTGGGTACCGAGGTACTGTATAACCAACTTCGAAACTGTTTGGAATAGTTTTGTTCTATTGCAAAAAAATATTTTGTTATTGCGTTGATTAGCTAAAATATTGTACCGTTATGATTCATATTAATGAGCTCGTGCTTTAGTAAATCAATTGAGATCTTCTTGATCGCTACTGATCTTATAACTGGCAGCTTCACTCATCACCGCCGTCGAGTTCGTCTCTATTTTCTGAAACATCTGACATAACGTACTGTCGTTTCTAAGAGTTACTTATCTCCCTGTATGTAAAAAACAATCATGCTCTAAAATCTGCTGTACTTCCTTGACATAATGTGTTTTTTATAAACGAGATTTTTGGGAGATACTTCTGAATATTTGCCCGAACTATCCCGTCAACAAGTAGACAAGAAGCTATTCTACCAAGAGTGCAAACGACTGAGATGAAATTTGACCTTAGTATAGTTGTCAATGGGTGACAGTAATGGCTGAGAGCTAAGTTCTGGTGTCCCGTCGGCTAGTCAATTCATCCGTCTTCGGCGCTCCATGAATTCCTTTGGACACATATTACATTTTATTCTTAAATTAATTTTTGCGATCGTATGAAGTACAATTTTAAACGTGCAATAGCAACAAAAGTTATTTTGATTCGAAATTAAATAAACTGTAAAGGCTCATCTACGTAAAGTCTTACGGTCAACCGTTTGATACATCGTCAGGTGTACGTGATCCAGCCGCCGTGTTATTTGCCGGCGCCGTCACCGGACCGGAGACGGGCCGCGGTGCGCGCTGACCTTTTTACGTCAATTATGTTTTATGAATCTTTATTTTTTCCGGATATGGGGTAGCAATTGAGACGGAATCCACTCCGATTCGTCCTGAGGCGCCACGAATATATTCGTTCTTTAAGAGCGCTCTGAGTTCATCACTAGGTTCATTCGGAGCTTCTAGTAAATACTTTTAGCTACTTCCTATGTATTTTTCCATTTAATTTTGTCGAGTGTTGTTTAGAAGATAAACTGTTTCATCAATAATTACTCATTGTTTGTCTAAATTCGTGTCGTGAAGTCATCGTGGCCTAAAGGATAAGACGTCCGGTGTATTCGTATCTAGCGATGCACTGGTGTTCGAATCCCGCAGGCGGGTACCAAATTTTCTATTGAATTATGTACTTAAATTTGCAAGCAATTGATTATTGCAAGCACACACAGGTGGGTACCACCGTCCTGTTTAATTGTGCCACGCAGCAAACAGCGTTCCGGTTCGCAGTGTAAGATCAAATCAAGTTATTTTAATGTTTGGTTCCAGGAGCGTGTCCTAGCGTTAGAAATTGGTTTATGGTTTTGTCTAATATTAGGCTCATACAACACGATACTCGGGATCATGGGCGGCATATACTTCATAAGGACAGGGTATCTGACGATGCACTTCTTGTTGGCTCTGATCTTCGCTTTGATGGCCATGTCGCTGTTTTGTGAGTATTTGTAATCTAAACAGATTAAGGATTTCTATAAAGGATTCTAAACAGATTTTGTAATCAAATCCCGTAGGCGGGTACCAATTTTCCTAATGAAATACATACTTATAAATTGTTCACGATTGACCTCCACGGTGAAGGAATAACATCGTGTAATAAAAATGAAACCCGCAAAATTATAATTTGCGTAATTACTAGTGGCAGGACCTCTTATGAGCCCGCACGGGTAGATACCACCGCCCTGCCTATTTCTGCCGTGAAGCAGTAACGCGTTTCGGTTGCGTTGTAGATGTCTATGGACTCCAGTAATCACTTAACACTAGGTGTTCTGTGAGATCGTCCCCCCATCTAAGCAATAAATACAAAACTGGACTGCGTCAATGATCATGCATTTTGTGTGAGCAGATGTGGCGTTGCAATCAGCTACCATCAGGTCCTTCTACGGGCAAAAAACGGTAACGTAATCGCCACGTAGCTGCCTCGTAACCGACTCGTAGCTACCCCGTAGCTGTCTCGTAGCGTACTGCTGAGGAGGAAGCCATTTTATTGTTTAATTATTATTTTTGCTTTATATTATGTATTGTTACTACATTTTTTGTTTTTTTTTCTTCTTCTTTTGGCAATAGCGTTTACTTTTTGCCAATGACGTAAATTAAAAGATTGGGAAACTAAGTTAAACACGGGAACACGGGAAAGGATCAGATAAGTAGGAAGAGGTTTGAAACGGATAATCAAAATTTCATAAATATATTATTATATTATACACATATTCATTTATGAAAATAACAGTGTACTAGATAGATATTCATTTTATCTATATCAGTTCGTTTTAAAGACCATCTTTATACTCACCTTAAAATTTTACAATGAACTCCGTTCTACTCTTCAAAATATGTACATAAAGATCTTTAAATGTAATATTTATAATACGTAGGTGCGTATGATTATAATGATAGGCACTGTTATCTTTATTTTTATTGTTATGGCAGGCGGTAGGTAGTTTGCGGTAACCTCTTCATACAGTTTACCAAAAGCGTTTTAAGCTAATAATCGTAAAAGTACTGTAGTTGTTTTTTACAAACACGCATTGTATCCGTTTTGTTTGTATAGCGATGCCGACGTACCTAATATATTTTGCTGATTGAAGAACACCACAAATGGAACATCGTGTAGTAGAATGAAAGTCATAATTCGTAATAAATCGAAATGACTAGTATTAAGGCTTTAATTGTGAGTTAGTCCTATCTATTTCTATGGCGCAATCACGTTTTTTTAAAGGGCTAAACTGGTGGTGGAGCATCATATGAGCTCACACGGCTTGTGTCGCCATCTCATATTTTAAATCAGGCATTCAGTTTGAAATTGAAGGTATGAATTATGGGTCAGTCGTTAAATAATACGGCCGAATTCCACTTCTTGGCTCAAGGCGGTATTCGTGCTATGAGGTGTAAGAGCTCCAGTGATAATACATATATACAAGGTGTATCATGAGCACGTAACTCAAACAAAAAAATACGAAGAGTCAAAGTATGCGGCTGACCTATTTTTGAGTAGGCGAAAGGGAAAATTACAAAATTGAGAGTGACGCCACGCCATTTTTAATTTGTCGCCCAATTATTGCGAGGGGTCTGTCCTTCAATCATTTTAAATTTTTTATGATGTTTTTATTGAGAAAGTGTATTCGGTACATATTATGATAATAAGTAGTTTTCCCTACACTAGACTGAGCAAAACTTAAAATATGCCCGTTTACTACATGTGTACATATGTACGTCGGTATGTGTTATAGAAACATTTCACGAGCTGATCTCAGGTAATGTTACTCTATACGATAATAATCCCTAATTGCCGTTACAAGAACCTAAATACAAAACAATGTTTCTCTGTAGATCTTTTTTGACTAAATTTGCAAAATGACTTTTGTTTATTGATATTGAAGTCTGTCCGACGGTTGTCTCACGGTAATTTTGTTTACGTTGTGAGTATCCTGAGTGCTCTGGGACGAATCGGATGTACTCAGGACTTCGTCACTTATAGTCCACTCAACCTGGGGTCAAGGTCTTATTTAACCTGGATTATAAACAACAAGCATTAAAAAGGAAGGAATAAGAATTCTAAGGAATAATCTATGTATTGCACAAAATGAATTTGTAATAATAAAATAATTAATCAATACAGAGGTTTGATTTTATTTTTATTAAAATGTTTAGATTGGTAGAGTTCGTATGCAAAAAAAACTTTTCTTTTAAAAATTCTATATTGAAGGTATGTATTATGAGTCTGTCGTTAAATAATACGGCCGAATTCCACTTCTTGGCTCAAGGCGGTATTCGTGCTATGAGATCTAAGGGCTCCAGTGATGAGTTAATACATATATACAAGGTGTATCATAAGCACATAACTCAAACAAAAACAATTTTTTAATAATAAAGTAAGTGCTCAATTCTGAGGTTTGATTTTATTTTTATTTAAATGTTTTGATTGGTAGAG